ATACCGACGGGTGTCGTTGGGGCCCGAGAACGAGAACCAAGGCCTCGGCTTACCGGTTTGTTAGAAGCTCTGGGGCTCAATTCGTACAATATTCCGGGAATGACATGGACTTGTCATTGTCTCGGCCACGCAGGCTTTGGATGCCTGCCGGCGACGTCCCATGCAAGATTGACGGAACACAGGGCTTCGAACAGTGGGGACTTGTGTCAATGTCAGGGGTGGTCCAACAGGGAGTTTGACATTGCGGTGGGAAACATTCGGATACCTGTACCAACATCTCCATCTGCTCGGGATGGGACCTCAGGGATCAGAGTCCGAGGGCGTAGAGCCGAGTGGCCTGATTCCGTAGCTTGCTGACGGATGACATGTTACTGATCACTCGGAAAGAATGTTTATTGTTTCGAGTAAGATAGTAAGGGCTAAGAAGAGAGAGAGAAAACATCCGAGCATCGCGAAGGCAACCTTGCCTAGGGATGACGGGCCAAGACGCCATGGCAGGAGGAGTATCCCCGAGAAACAATGAAAGGAGTAAAATCCGATGTAGATCGCAAGATTCTTCTGGGCCGCTGCAAACAGATTCCAAAAACCAGGTACCGTGAGTGCTGTGGAGGAAGGGCTTTTGCACGAGGCCGTCACCGTCCGTTTGGCAAGGCCGACACCGGCCATGCGGACGATAGGACTGTGCGACGTCGTCTCATGCATCTCGACGAACAGAGCCGTGGAGTCTGGCTCGGCAAACTGCTGACAGCATGTTACTGGTGGTTGTGTAACAGAGCGAGTTTGTGACATATGAGCGCCATCATGCAATGCCTGCTCGAGACAACACGAACCGGGCCTCTGGGACGGGCAGGTCTTTTCCCGACGGAAGGGGAGTAGGACGGGTTCTTTTTTTGTTTTTTCTTGCAGGAACGACGGTGTCTCAACATCAAACGAATCACGGGGCTCCAAGAGAAAAAAGTGTGAACGAGGCGAGTGAGACATCTGCGAAATGTTGGCGGCGGAGACAGAGAGACATGGTGTTGGTTGGAACATGGCCTGTGGGCATGCGGCTGTCTGTCACCAACGGGAACTTTTGCACCGGGACCGTCGTCTCCCCTCTTTCTCTGCCTCTCTCTTTTTCTCTCAGGGCATCAATAGAAGGGCCCGAGAACCTGGGATGAGCATCTCTGCGGCGCAGCGCCCAGGCCCCAGGCAGCGGGCAGCCATTCAAGTGGCGAAGATGGGCAGTATGTGGCTGTTGGTGCACATCACATCACGTTTACTGCATGCCCAGAACTGGCTTTCCGTCCAACCCGTCACACCGTTCTTTCGACGCTGGCGGCCGTCCTGTCACGGTCCAGACTCGCCCTTCAAATGATTCATGACTGCGAGCTTCTGGCAACACAACAACGCCGCAGATGTGATTGTAATTGTAATCGAATCCTTCGAGAGCCGGTACCAGAAGGCCTTCACCCGGAACGACCTTGTTTCTGGCAAAAAAAGTCTGGGCTGGACGGACATTGCACAGGGCATGGATCAGCCATAGCACAGAGCACCGTCGCCCGGCCGGAGCAGAGAGCTCTCTCAGAGCGGATGTTACCCCAACTCTCTCCACCGACAGGCCATGGCTGCTGGCTGGCTATGCGAATCATATCCTGTCATCCTATCAACGCTTTAGGCCTGACACCACTTCGCGCAGCATTTCCCACCGCAAGGGTGCCCGCATAGCTAACTGGGTCTTGGTGATATTTTGGTGTTGGACCCAAATTCACCGTCGTCTTCGCTTCCGAGGGCAAGGTGAGGGGGAGGAACATGAGGGCTCGTTTACGCTTCTATTTCCCATCTCCTGTCAGATGTCAGATGGATCCTGGGATGGCAAGTCGGTAGACCGCCGTCCTCTCGTTCCGGTTGGTGAACCCAGCGGCCGATGTGAGGAAACTATCTGTGAAATTTGGTCAGCAGTAGTCGGCAACTTTTCCTCATTGATCTGCGATCCACGTTCAACTCGGCGCAGGCTTGTTTTGTAGTTGTGGCACCTCTGCAAAGTCCCCTTGCTTTTTCTTGTTTTAATTCTGGGCCTTCAGTACCTCTGTACAGACAGGTTGTTGTTGGTTCTACTCTCACGCACTGATGCATGCACCAGGCTAGGTCTACGTATCTCTTTTTGATTTTTGGTTCTTTTTTTTTTTTTGGCCTCCTCCTCTTTTTGATGCAATTGATGCAGCAACAATCCACATTGGATGCGTCCTTCTTACCTTAGGCGGCTGCACGCAACTCCAAAGGGTGTTTAAGCCCCCTCTAGTGCAGAGGCTCAATCTAGTTTCCAGCTCGCCCGTCGCTCCGGTCGAAACAGAGCTCACCTGCTATCCGCTATTTCTTCCACCCCTGTTGCTTGCTCTCGACAGCTGTACCCGGTAGCAAATCGGGGAGGAAGGCGACTGAGGGGCCTCATTTGTCAATTCCGCGCCAACGCGCAAGCCTGGGTTGCTCTTGGGGGGGGTTTGCTCTGTTTGGGTTCCAGTTCCAGCTCATCCACAGCCAAACAGAAGCCATACAGACGACGAAGAAGGGGGGACCCAAATCAAAGAAATCCAGGTCCCAGGGTCCAGGGTCCGCCCCCCAGGGTTGTGGAATCGTATCAGTCGACACCGAGTTCCAACACCAACAACAGCAGAACCAACCTATTGGGTCCTCCCCCGTGTTTTCGTTCCCGCCTTTCCCGCCCTCGCGGATTCAGACCGACTCAGGCCGTCCCAGGTCTCCGGGTCGAGCACGAACACTCACACACCTAGACTCGCTCCCTCTGCTCTACTTAGTACACAAATGCCACGGCTCTCCCCTCCCTTTCCATTACCGACGCCCCAATCTCTCATCTTAAACTTTGTGTGTCTCGGCCGGCGTTCAATTGGCGTGCTGCGAGGCCTTGAGTCGGATCGAGCCTCTTATCACCTTGATTCTGATCTGCGATCCCGAGGTCGTTCGATTCATTCCTCTCTGATGCCCGACCCCTCCGCCCCTAGTTAATCTTATTGTCTTAATAACCAAGGAGGTGAACACTCGCCGGGAACTCGACCTGTCAGGAGACAAATACGTACCGCGAGACAACATCAACGAGCTCCCCCAAGGAAACTTTCTTTGTTCAACAGCCACCACGAGCAATTGCGATTGACTTCACGTTCTCCACTTGTTCGCTGAGGTCTTCGATGGCCCTGGACTTGACCGCAATCGTCCTATCGTTCCGAATCCGTCACCTCGACTCATAAAAACTGCCCCTTTTCTCATCAAGCTCGACCCCGTCGTCGTCACTCGATACTCTCCGAACTTTTTTTTTCTTCCCTTGGCTCAGGTCACGAGCTCAAGTCATGGCCACCAATTTCTACCCTCCAGGCGCCGTCAACGGTCGGCTCCACGGCTTCGAGTTCACCTTCGAGTCCACCCCCGACAAGACATCCCTGCACGATAGCTTTTTGGAGCCCGATGTACGTAGAAATCCTCCGCAGGCGTGTGCGGCCCTGTTCATTTGATCCAAGTGTTCGTCCGATGTCACTAACAAGCTCATCTTCTTAGCCCGATCCTCAAGAGGGGTATGCCTGCCATTGAGAAGTCAATTCGCAAGCGCATGAGCTAATTCTGTAAAATAGGGAAACGGACTCTTTGCCGGATAGCGTGGAATGCTTTCCTCGTCACTTTGGCAGGACTTATCACGCTTACCAGGCCGGATGTAAGTCATATCGATCCGACCGTGCCAGGTTGAGAATACTCACATGAGTCGCAGCCTATGTATTTCCAAATGATGCAGCCGAGCAAGAGCGATTAGACCTTCAATCGCTTGCACTTACGGAATTATTCAATGGCAGACTGCATTTCGCCCCGATAAATGAGAAAAGCACACCCAGACGAATTCTCGATGTGGGCACAGGAACGGGAGCATGGGCGATGGATATGGGAGACAGCTACCCAGAAGCTCGCATTATTGGAGTAGACTTGTCACCTATCCAAAGCAATGCTGTGCCACCAAACGTTCATTTTTATATCGAAGACGCGTAAGTGAGTCTATTTCCCGTATGAGAACTTCATCTGACTCCCCACACAGCTCCCAAGAGTGGGCATGGCCTGACCCCTTCGATTACATACACACACGCGTCCTCCTCGGTTCATTCGGCGATTTCAAAACCGAAGTTATTCAACAATCCTTCGACGCTCTACGCCCAGGGGGCTGGCTCGAGTCTCAAGACTTTAATGTCGAAGCGATCAGCGACGACGGAACTCTGTTGCCAAACAGCCCTCTGGCTCGCTGGGTGTATGATATGAACCACGCAAGTGAGCTCATCGGACGGCCCCTGGCTAGGGCGCATCTGCTGAGGCAGTGGTACGAAGAGGTCGGGTTCGTCGATGTGCATGAGCGTGTGTTCAAGATCCCATTGAATGGATGGGCTAAACACCCGAGACACAAGCATGTCGGCAAATTGTGGGAACAAAACTTTCTTGATGGGTTGAGTGGCTTCAGCCTGGCTTTATTTACGCAAGTTTTGGAGCGAAAACGGGCGGAAGTAGAGGTGAGCTCTGCCTTAGACCGTTGCTCTCCTACCATAAGCTGACCATATCTGCAGTTGTCTTTGGTAGGCGTACGAAAAGATATCAGCAACGTACAAATCCACGCTTACCAGCACGTTTGGGTTGTATGGGGCCGAAAGCCATATCCAGAGGAAATCGCTGCAGCCGGCCCCTCCGAGGACAGCATGGCTGAATAACGATCAAATGACTTGACGACCTTTTTTCTAGATTTGTTTCCCATTTATTCAGCAGCGAAAGTCATAGCGCGTTACAAGCAGCATTTAAATGACCAGGAGAGTACAGGAACTTCCCGAAAAAGGCGCCTGGGAGGCGTTCGCCTTAGGCGTACAATGTTTCAAGACGAATGCGAGCGGACGGTATAGATATTCCTGTATGATGATGACTACGAGTATTTCAGCACAGATACCATTTCTCAATTTTCATTTATGCCATCTTGGTTCCCAGATTCAAACTTTGAGCAACATCCACTCCAACTGCATCGCCTTCTCTTCTCCGACGAGACTCAGGAGCTTGTCCTTCGTCAAGAAGTCATGATCGCAAAACTCGAACCCAGGCACGGCGACCTCAGTAATCAAGAGCCCCTCGCTCGCCTCCTTCTTGCAATCTTCGTCTGGCAAGATGAAGCTGGCCTTATAATCGCCTCCTTCAACGACCCACTGCAGCCTTTCCCCGGCGGCGATGTTCTTGCCGACGACGAAGCTCTCGATGTTGCCGTCTGCGTGGATGAGCACATATCGACCTCGTCCACTGTGAAGGGAATGCGTGATGCGGCAGCGGTTCCGGTGAAAGTGGCCCACAGGTGAGGACGGAGTAAAGTAATAGAAGATGTTGGATGATAGTGTGCGAAGAGTTGGGACGAAGCCGGGGCGGTCGAAGCCTCCGATCATGCCGAGGGTTGTCGGGTTCGTGGGTGTTTGAGGGAACGTGGACGTTACGGTGGTCTTGTCCCGATCTGTTTCGGCGAAGAAGCCGCCTTCGAAGTGTCGCAAAAGGGAGAGGGATTTGATTGTTCTTTGGATAGAGGACGGGTCGTTGGGGAGGGGAAGAGAGGATGGATTTAGAACTTGGTCGATGATAGGAACAGAGCCCATCGTGCTGTTCCTGAGACTATGTGATGATTGAACGAGCTCTAGAAGTTGATGTGAAAAGCATACAAGGTCGACAATAGATCAAGACGGAACGATTCGAGGAGAATTCTTTTTAGCCACAGCTTGGTCTTTATCAACGGATTTCAACCTGAAGATAAGCTAACGCTTACGACCAAGCCCTGCGAAACTACTCAGACTAGACAGAGAAGCGACTTATCACATATATACAAGACGCCCGCAAAGAGCCTCCGAAGTACCACACCAAACGGAACCCCTGAAAAGTCCCGACAGCCTGCTAATGTTAGATAACCCATCGACCTCAGGGTGAAGAAATATTTTAGATAGCTCGCGTGACTTAGTAAGTCCATTGCGGTTTTTCATAGAATTAAGGAGACACGGGCAGGTCTAAGTGGCACCACTGATCATCACAGAAGACCCATACTGCACAGGTGCATCGCACCGGTGAGCCCAGACTGTCTGTGTGCAACCGCATAAAAGCTGTGAGGAAGATCCAGCGAAAGCATACTGCCAGTTCCAAAATTTCGGAAAGCTCGGGAAACACTTTGAAAATCTGACGTGGGATTGAGCAAGTGTTGATGAGGGAGTTGGAAATGGGGGCACTGGCTCAGCCACACCGTTCTCATGCTGAGCTGACGTGTGGCTGGTGTGCCACATTTCTTATCGTTATCGCCGGCCAGTGAGCTACACTCCGAATGACAGCATCCTCGGACGTCTGAATTCGATCACGACGAACACCAATACCAGCCGCGAAACGACCCTATCCTTCCTCCAGGACACCTCAACCGGGGCGCACAATCGCGTAGACCGATCCTGAGGACTGATTCCGGCCGGCGCACGTCGCGCGCCCAACCATGTCATCCCTCCTCCGCGCTCTCCGACCACCAGCTTTCCGAGCTGCATGCCTTCGACCGCCACCCCCTCGGCCGCTCAATGGCACCTCTCCCACAAGCTCTCGTCTTGCGCAAATCAGATCAGACTCAGCGACGCCAATATATAGACCGACCCGACCCTTCTCCCAGACCCCGCGTGCTCCTCAAGACCCGCGCGACCCCCGCCGCCAAATAGACTACGACTATCTCCAACGACAGTACCACGAAAACCGCATACGAGCTGCCAAACCCCTGTGGTCAGGCAAAAGTGACGGCCGGATAGGCGTCTTCGAGCGATTCCGCCGCGCCGCGACGTCCCGAGGCACCGTAGGCACCGGCGTGATAGCCGGCTCCTTCCTCGCCGCCTGCCTCTTCTACTTCTACAACCTCCAGACGGTCCCTGTCTCGGGGCGCAAGCGCTTCAACATCTTTCCGGAAGACTACGTTAAAGATATTTCTGCCGAACAGGTCCGGCGCATCATCCACGAAGTCGAGACGCAAGGCGGCCGTTTCCTGCCGTCGTGGGATCCCCGCGCTAGGATGGTAAAACGGGTGATGGAGCGGCTGATACCGGTATCCGGGATGGAAGATCTGCAATGGGAGATTCGCGTAATCGACGACCCCAGCACTATTAACGCGTTCGTCCTCCCCGGCGGCAAGGTATTCGTCCATAGCGGCATCTTGCGCGTGACGAAGAACGAGGACGGTCTGGCCGCCGTGCTGGGCCACGAGATCGCGCACATTATCGCGGATCATGTAGGCGAGCGGATGAGCTCTCTAATTGGGCCCAACATCCTTCTGGGAGCGTTGTTTAGCATTTGGCTCGCAACACCCCTGGCTTTGCCCATGGTTCATTACTTGGGCGGTGGATTGATCGATTTCATATTCACGCTGCCAATGGGCCGGCTGCAGGAGAGCGAAGCAGATTATATCGGCATGATGCTGATGGCAGAGGCGTGCTATGATCCCAGTGAAGCCATTGGTTTGTGGCAACGAATGGACCGTATGGCCAAGATGTATCGCCAGGACGAGATCCCCGAAATCCTGGGTACACACCCTTCGGTGCGTTATGGACCCGTTGTGTTCAATGTCTTTGTGTGGCTAACAGTGTTCCCGCAGAATGAGCATCGCATACAGAAATGCACCGAATGGCTGCCGAAAGCTCTTGAAAAGCGATCTGCCAGCGATTGCCAAGGAACTGCAAGCTTTGCGGGGCAGTTCAGGCGGGCTCTTGATTTGGGTAATCTGATCATTGAGTTCTAGAGTATTCCCATTTTACCATACCCTATCATGGATGGTGTCTGGCGTTGAGGGCATAGAACCGCGGAGACGATAGACGAGACCTTGGATTGCATGCAATCTCATGAAACTATGCGTCATTGTTATTATCAACATCATATTATAGCCTAGTAAACTTTCATATATGAGATACCACAATACTTCAACTCATCTTCTAGATCGTTCCTTTCCACCGCATCGTTTCGAGCAACCTTGCATGCAAGGGAAACAGACTCGGCACATACCCCGGCATCCTTGACAATGACATACCGCCAGGAACCGATTCGAACCATGGGAAAAAAAAATTCCAGGCGCGTGAAAAAGTCTAGGTAGTCGCAAAGGTAGCGGAGCCTCGGATCTGGGCGCTGCTCCTCCCCCGGATCTCACGAGCTGAGAAATCGTCGCCTCGTGATTTGCTCCCGCATTCACCCCAGGCCACCAAGCGGTCCGGAGGCGGAGCTCCCCCAATCAGCGGACGAATGACGTCGTCCGACGACCCCTGTTCGCGCATAGATGAGCCGAGGTAAGTTGACTCGTGTACCGCTAGATGCAACACGCGCGCTGCTGGCTTGCTCTTTGCCGGTGCTTTGCAGGGCCGCCAGCCAACCCCCCCCAGTGGCCCGATACGCTAGGAAACGACACCGACAAACCCCCGACAACCTTGGCCCATCTCACCGTGTCTTTTTCCTCACATCTTATCAACCTGCCACTCACCACCTCATCTTCAGCTTCACATCTTCACATCAACTACCTCCGCAAGCCTTCTCAGCGTCGTACGATATCTCGCTACTACATACACCGAACCGCGTCACCCCCTCAAGTTCCCCCAAACACAGCCGCCAACATGTCCAAGACCTTCACCACCGCCGAGGTTGCCCAGCACAAGACCGAGAAGGACATGTGGCTCATTGTCGAGGACGGCGTCTACGACATCACCGGTGAGTTCCTCTCTTCTTTATGCTGTAGAAGTTTCCCTCCATCTTCCCAACATACTGACCATGTCTCGCAGCTTTCCAATCAGAGCACCCCGGTGGTGAGAAGATCCTCAAGCGTTTCGCCGGCAAGAACGCCACCAAGGTCTTCTGGAAGTACCACAACGAGAAGGTCCTCGAGAAGTACGGCGGCAAGCTCAAGATCGGCACCGTCGGCGAGAGCGCCAAGCTTTGAGACGGTCATCTCGCTATAGCCTGTCTTTGTTTCGGCATCATTTGCTCATGTACTTTTTTCCCAATCTTGCGACAAGAAGCGACTGTACTTGATGGATTCTGTGCTGGGACTTTGCTATTTTTTTTTAACGACCTTTGCATTGGGCTTTAGCGCTGTGAGACACGACTTTCTGGAATGGGCTCGGGGCAATGGATTCGCATCGAAAATGAGCCAGCAAGCCCGGTGTCCGTTCGGTTGGCTGGGATCGTGGGGAGGAGCAACGGACGTCAAGCCCATGCAGGACAGTAAGATCTGTCTGGTCTAGGGGTTCACGTTAGGCGGACGTCGGAGTCCGGGAGCCGGGGTGAGGCCATCGATGGCTCAGACGCTATCGGAGAAGTGGCCCAGGAGGCTGGAGTTCAGCGAGGATCACTGTTGTGCTTTGGCCGAAACAGTAGACAAACACTAGACGGCCCAGCTCTGCAACGGAATAGATGTCGAAGACCATGTTAAAGTCAATCCTTTGACCATCGGAGTGCAGCTTCGAAACGTTTAGTCATTAATATGTCTTGGCCCGTTAAACTATATGCAGCCGCTGCAAAGGGCAGTGGTGAGGTGAAAAATTATCGTGCAAACCCTGCCGCAGCGTATCCAACCCTCGTGGAAGCAAAAGCGCGCGTACCCAGGTCCCGTTTGCCTTCCCATTCCAAGGGCAGTTCTGTCTAGATTTTATCATTGTCTGGATTCCGGTCTCTTCCTTCGTCCATCTCTATGGCATCCTCAATAAGCAAGATTGTCGTCCCCTCTAGTATCTTTTCTCCCCTTCCCAAGTCATAGAGGGTATAATGCAATTCGTCGTCGTGCGTTATACAAACGAAACAAAGAGAAAACTTCGGTGCGGCAGGCCACTCCTGCCAGTGCCATGCCGCCTCTTGACGGCGGCAAGCTTCGTTCTTGAGTTGAAAAAAGAAAACTTCGTGAAAACTCATGATGTTCCTTGCAGCCGGATTAATAGCCGCCGATGAGAGAGTCGTCATATCTATCAGGACTGCCGGTGCCGCTACCATTGGCACTATCGCTGCTCGAGAAGTAGCTCTGGTCGATACGGAAGATCCAATCCATCTTGTCGCGCTCGCTGCGCCCGGCAAATAGCCATGTGTTGTCAGTACCGTAGATGGCGAATACGCCAGCTTGCAGTCGTTCACTCAGCCGTTGGAGGCCACCATTAGGTCCGGTCTGAGCGCCACCTGTGCCTGTGCCAGTCCAAATGCTGGAGATGACACGTCCTGAGGCTGTCCGACGGTGACTTGGCCGGAACTCCTCGACGCTCCCGTTGGCTTGCGAGCTTGTGTCGTCGTCTTCACCCGACAAAAGGCCGATGACGCCAGGTTGGCTGTCGACGCGCGAGTTGCGGAGACTGACAATTGCTACCTCATCACCATCAGTGACGGAGTGGATATGAAGGTAGGGTCTACGCAATTCCACAAATCTCTTGACCCATCTTGTTGAACTGCTGTTGGGTACCAGCAAGTAACCACCCTTGAGAACCTTGGGGTTCTTTGGAACTCGGATGATCGTGGGAATCAACATCGGCGCGGCAGGTTCGGGTGCAGCGCCATCGGCTGGTGGATCAGTGTTGGCTGGGCTGAGAATCTGCAACAGAGGATCAGGGTACTTGTTCCATAGCTTGAGGCACCTCTCAACGAGGTACTTCTCCCGCTCTGGCATTTCTGGCTCCTTGGGTTCTTCAGGTTCCTGTACCGTTGCAGTCTCTGTCTCGGTCTCTGCATCTTGTTGTGGAGTGTCCTGATCATCTCCATTCAACAGGTCGTCCTCTGGGACTTGTGAACTCTCTGGGGTGTCGTTCAAGAGGTCGTCGTCGTCATGATCAAAAGTCGGCTGCGGAGGTATATCTTCTTCTTGAGGCTCCTCCGCGGGCTTCACTCTAGGCTCGGGGAGCCCAATCTTCTTAAGCAGTAGCTGCGCGGACCCGATTTCAGCGATACGCCTTCTCTTCTTACGAGAGAGAATAAAGTCGCTAACAAGAGAAACCCCGCGTGGTGTCCAAGTTGTGAGCTGCTCTTCGCCCTTCACATAGTCGTGTTGACTGCTCATTCTCCAAAGGTCGCCGATTCTCTTGATAGGCGCTGGACGCATCGAGAGAGTGAAGATGGCGCTGGTGGCGTGGACAAACCGAACACTTTGCCACAGTGCAGAGAACATGGACGTCTGCCTCACGTATGATCTGGACATGATTTGACAGCAAACGTGCATGGCGAACTTCATCGGCTCTGCAAACTTGCTGGAGCTAATCTCCCAGGCCACCGTCATCTGCACGCGATACTTGTCTGCGGTAACCCTGTCTAGCAGTAAGGAGTTGTGCAGACTTGAGTCCCACTGACCGGTCAGCGTAATGCTGCGGGTACCGTTTGCGTTGTCGCGGAAAGTAGGCTTGTTGGCAAGCTTGAGGGTAATTGCCGGGGATGTCGAGCCCATATCTGGCGACTTTCCTGCCTGGTCCAAAAGTTGGATCTTGCCCACCCTGAGATTCATAGCATCATCCCAAGGCAGAGCATCGCCAGAGCTGTGCGTGATGTTGATGGCGATTCGGCGCTGCAATCCTTGGTGAAGGTGGAATGTGCCGCCGTCCATTTCGCTTGTCTGAGCGACTTCGACCGGAGCATACTCTCCTTCCTCGTTGAGTTCAAGGATCTGAATCCTTGCCAGCATGTCGTGTTTCTCTTCCGTGAAAAATTGAGACTCCGCAATGCGAGCGTTCTTGCCTTTGCCTCGAGAAAGGGGCACAGCATCTCTCATGTCGTCCCAACTCAAGAGTTTATCCAAATGCATAGCCGAGACCTTGGCAAAGATGGCGGCTCTAAGAGTGACGGTCTGCGGGCTAAAAAGAGGGACGCTCATGCTATGGACGCTCTCAAAACGAATCGGGCCTTCATCGAAATCCTTAATCATTTGAGTGGTCGTAATGCCGTCCTCCTCAGAGACTCCGGGGATGAACAGTTGAGCGTGCACCTCGGTACCTTCTCGCTCAGCGAAGCCGACCATTTCGTGCATAACGACGTTGAACTTGAGAGTGTTGGAAGGCGCTCTGGCGTGAGATGGCTCCAAGGAAAGCTTGATCATGCCAATGGCATGGGAGGTATGAGGAGACAGAACGTCCAAGGCAAAATCCTGGACTCTGCTTTGGAAGACTGCCTTCAATGGGACGTCAACCTCCCCAACCAGAGTGTACTGCGGCATGCAAGTCTCGACAAACGGATTGTCGAGGCTGAGATGTTGAGCATACTCAGGCTGATCGAGATATTGGTGCATTTGCCTCATCTGTCGAACACGGTCGTGAAGCTTTTCCAAACTCCAGAGGTGAACAACGCTGTTCTTGTAATCAATAACACGAACGCCAATGCACGGCTTCTGAGCTTCGTCAAGCGCAGTATCGTCGCCTTCGCCAGTCAACCCATTCAGGACCATGTCATAAGAGGAACACAATGAGTGGCCGACGTCGATGACCGTAAACTGGAACACCACCCCTTCGTCCAGCTCGTTGCTCATGATTTGTGCCTCCTTGAGTGCAGAAGCATGCTGAAGGACCGCTTCGGCCATGCGCACGTAACGTCTGGTCCGCCAGTGCTTCACAACTTGTCGAGCAATCTCAAGCTCTTCGTCTGACAACTTGGGGTTCGCCTTTGGCCGCTTGAGTGGATCCATTTTCTCAAGCTTTTCCTCGAATTGTCGGCGCTGGACCTCAAGTTGTTGTTGCATATCTTCCTTGATAGTCTTCAGAGTCTCCTCCATGCGGACCTTTTCCTTCTTGATCTCTTCGACCTCGACGTTGGCTGCTTCCGCAGTCTTGAGCTGCTCCTGGTACTCTTCCTTCTGCCTGTCGAGCTGAGATTGCATCTCTTCCCGCACCTCTCGCATCTTGTCGTCGACTTCGCCTGGCTTCGGTGTTGATGGCATGGTCAGAGCCGTGTCGAGTGAGAAGTTGTCGATCGTGCCGGTTGACATGTACTTCTCTCGTATAGGGTAGGAAGTGACTGATTCCGTGTCGTCATCTCCATCGCGTCCATTGACACGCTCTGCACGAGCTCGCTGAATCCCTTCAAATAAAGCATTAAGCTCGTCGTCCGTAAGACTCGCCAGGTTTTGGTTCGGTCCAAGGATAGCCTCTGCTGCCTCGCGGCGTGCAAAGCTCCAATCGTTGTCACGACCTGGGCGGAAGGGAATTGGCGAGTCGGGCCTGCTGTCACCAAAGTCTGACCCAGCCTTGCTCCAATTGCGCTCATGACCCGGGCGAGGGCTGGCAGCTGGCGTGATTGCCTTCCCTTCGAGACCCTGCAACTGACTTGCCGTAACAGACTGGCGGAGAAGGCTCTTGTCGGCGCGCTCCTTCTGTGCCTCCATCGGGTGATTAAAACGGAAAATGTGGAAGTCGCCTAGGATCACACGATAGCCGGAATGAAGCTGCTTAGGCTCTTCGATCCGTTTTCCGTTGACCATCACGGACGCGCCTTCTCTCGGGATAATCATGACGGTGCCGTCTTGCTGATTTTCGAAGGCGCAATGGTCGTGGAGAATTCGCGTCCCGTTAAGACGAATATTGGCTTGATTTTCGGCATTGGTGTCCATGTTTCCAACTGTCGTCAGCCCTGGCTTGAGATTATACACCAGACACTCAGCAAGTAATGGATCGTCCGAAAGGTTAACCAAGTGAGGCATCTTTTTGGGCGTGGACAGCCCAATAAAACCTTTTTCGATGCTGATGCCGAGTTCCTCGAGAGCAGCCTCACGCTCTTTGTGGATCTCTTCAGTTTTTTGCAACTTCTGCTCCCAAGTCTGATTAAGATCCGATAGCAGCTTCTCACTTTGGTTGAGTTGCTCTGCGATCTCGGCCTTGGATACTTTCTTGACGGCACCATCCGAAGACGTGATGGAGACGAACTGTTTCTCCAGGGGCGTGCCTTCCGGATAGACCTCTTCAGCCGTGATAGTACCGCCCCCAGCAG